AGAGAGAGAGAGAGAGAGAGAGAGAGAGAGAGAGAGAGAGAGAGAGAGAGAGAGGACATGGGTATTTGATTAAAGTTGCATCAGAACATGATTACTGGCTCAACTTTGTTTTAAATTAATACATCAAGCAAACTGTACACCCTCATGAGATCAACAATTGTTCATTCTGACATGCTATTATTTCACTTTTATTAAACAGGATAAACTATGGTTTTCTTATGGAAAAAGATTCAACATATAAACTTATTTTAGTTACTTGTCAAAAAGTCAATATAGATCAAAAAGAGCACATRTTGGTTATATTTTAAATTTGTACAGCATATTGTTAGGACTACTCAGGAAATGTTTTTATTTTTATTTTAAAAAAATCTGTCATTTTTACATACAGTATGATGTTTTGCTAATTACAATGCTGATTTTGTAAAGGACAGTTTACTTTTAGTATTGCACTTGGTAATAATAACTTATTGCATAATGTATGCTCATCCTGTGTAGATGTATCAAACGGCAAGTGATCCCAAAACGTTACTTGGACAAAAAACATGCGTGTCCACAGATGGACCGGCATTTAGAAAATTACAGGATGTGTGGTGATGATGTGCACATTTCACTTATAGTTTATAACTGCTGAAAGATGAGGAGTCAGTATATATCTGGCCTTTTTTAACATGTCAGTTTGTTTCTTTCACACTTGATTAAAATATAAAAAAAATACACAAATGCATCAAATCTTTGATCCATTATACTTTATTTTCCCAAATACTAGAAATGTAACTTGTGTGTTTGTTTGGCAGAACTGTTAACAAAACATCTCTTGATAGTAACTCAATTTTTCAGATATCSCACAAACATTTGGTGTGGTAGTTAYAGTAATTTGAGCACTGACAGATCATGTGAGATATGAGACCAAGCATAATTTTATTGATAAATGTTTTTTCTAGAACTGTTCTTTTTGAGAAATAGACCCTATTGAAATCAATTATGAATACAATTTTTGTACCTATATTTACCAAACCATGAAATAATTACACATTTATTACTTTTRCCTGTACACTGAACATATTTGTTATCAGATTTCTTGACACTGCTTTTACATTTAAAGGTCACCACAGAATTCTCCACCAGGAGGCTGGAACTTCCCCTGAATCAGTGCATCGTTCATGGATACAAGTTGCTTTCAAACCCGGTCTCTTTCGGCTGACAAAATTGTTTTAGTTTGGATGTAAAAAGCAAAAACATACAAACAAGTCTACTTTTGGTATAAAACATTCGCTCCACCTGCATTCAGGACTGAAGTCAAGCTGCCTCCTGTTGGCTCGACTGAAAACACGGGATCAATCAGTTCAGTAAAAGTAACAAATGAAATGCCCACAGTTTTGTTACAGAGTAAAGTTTTAGAATTTTATTTTAAATTAAAAAATATGCTATGATTTTAAAATATGCATCCCCTTTACCACCTGACCAAAAAAAAAAAAAAAACCTTTTTCAGTTATCAGATCTGGAGGTCAGAGAGACTGGTTGTTGGTCTTCCACAAAACGTCAGACTGGATTTATTTTACAAACTATTGAAAAATTATTTTAGTCATAGTAACTCCTAACCCCCAATACACACACAAGCACACACACACACACACACACACACACACACACACACA